TCTGTAGAATATAAAGAAATTATAATTAATCGTAAAAGTTTTCATGATAAAGAAAAAACAAAAATATCAACAAATATTAAATTAGATAAAAGAAAAAAGAATGAATCAGATTCATCTTTAAGTTCTTTAAAATCAAATGATTCAAATTATACTAAGAAAAAAAAGAAAGGAAAATTTAAAGTAGTTGATAATTTAGATACTGAAAATTTAAAAGCAGATTCAAATTATACTAAGAAAAAAAAGAAAGAAAAATTTAAAGCAGTTAATAATTTAGATACTGAAAATTTAAAAGCTGATATCGAACAAGCAAGAATTTAAAAAAATTATAAAGAATTAAAAGAAAATAATATTGTCCAACAAGATATTATAACTAATGAAGACTTATAAGAAGAAATTAAATTAGTTTGATAGAAAAAAACAAAAACAATTCAGAATACAAATATTTAAAAAACTTATTTAGATTATATATTTTTATTTATATTATTTGTTATCGATATTATTTTATTATGTGATATCAAATAAAATTTTTTTTAATCACATATCACATATATGTGATAATTCTAAGAAAAGATTTTTTTTGTTACAAATTTGTACTGTTTATTATTATTATTATTTGTATAAAAATCAGATTTGTTTACGTGCATAAAGATTATAAATAACAAAAAAAGATAATCTCTTTTTTTTTTCTCAATAACGAACAACTTTTTACGCAAAGGTTTAATATTTTTTTTTATATTTAAAATACTTTTAAAATATGATTAAACAAAATGCTAGCTTAGTCTTTAGCACCTAAACTCAACTACTTCGATGATAATGTTATCAAGTCTCTCTTTAAACATCTTCTCAACCTCTTATCATTACTTAGTTCTCAATCAGTTTTAACTGGTTTTTTTTCTTGCTAGCTTCTTTTTTGCTATAGACTTATGATTTTTTATTTTGTTTTTTTTTAATTTATTGTTTTAAAATATCAGTCACTAACTATTTTTTTTTTCTCTTTTTTTTTAAATAAGTTAATAGAAAACATGTCTAATATTATTGATGATATTGATAATATTATTGAACAAAACAATAATTTGCAAAGCTCTTTACTTCAAATTCGTAAAAAAATTAATGAAACCAAAGCTAAAGTCAAACCCAAACTAAGTCTTGAAGATATTATTGAGAAAACAAAGCAAACAACCACTAAAAGTGATCAAAATAGCTTAGATATCGAAAGATTAAATTTGAGTATTAAAGGATGGAAATCAAATCTCTCACTTTATGAAAATGTTAAAAATCTTTATAATGAATTAGAAGAATATAGAGATAAATATTATAAACTCAATACTAAATTTAATAATTTAGTTCATAATGAATAATTTTTTTATATTTGTATTTTTTTTATTTATAATTTTTTTTTATAAATTTTTATTTTTTTTATTATTTTTTTATAATAAAATATTAAGTTGATGATTTAAATTTGTATAATTTTTATTAATAATTAGTTGTTTAATCTTTTTTACAAATATCAAATAATAATATTTTATTAATTTAAAAAAATAAAAAAAACTATATAAATAACAGCTTTATTGAGTGTTTTAACAAAAAAAATGGCTTCAAAAAGATTAGAAAAAAGCAGAAAGATTCGCTGTTTTAATTGTCGAATTCTTGGAAAACCATGTTTATATAATAATAATAATGAAAAATGTGATGTTTGTTTAAGAAGAAATACAAATTGTATTAAAGTCTATCCAAAGCATTTTAAACATAAAATTGTTGAACTTTTAAATGAGATTCAAAATCTTAAAGAAGAGAATATTATACTAAAAAATAAAGTTTTCAAACTTGAAAAAGATCAATTAATTGTTAAACAAAATCTTGAGAATCTTTTAACTATATTAGAATAAAGAAAATCAAAATTTTAATCAAGATTTTAACTTAAATAAACCATTTTTATTTAATTTATTTTCTATTTCACTTAATTTACTATAAAAATAACATCTATTCTTTTTAAAAAAAAATAAAATGAAAAAGTACAAATAGAACTGAACTACTATATAAATTTTATTCTTCTTATGAATAAAATAAATTATTTAAATAAATAATTATAAATAAATATTTTATTCTTTAAATATAAATAATAATGTCTAACTTACTATCAAAAGAACAGAAAATTTTAATTGAAATAGAAAATCTAAAAGCTGAAAAAAGTGATCTTGATAAAGAAATAACTAGTAAAAATTTAATTATTGAAAGCTTAAATAATAACAATATTCAACTTTCAAAAGAGAATACAGATTTAAAAGTAACAAATCAAAATCTAACAACTAATTGTCAACAACTTTTATCAACAAATCAAACTTATGAGAATACAATTCAGAATCAACAAAAAAAGATAAAAGAAAAAGAAATTTTAATTAAAGAATATGAACGAGTAATTAATAATATTTTAGAAAAATTAGATATTAAAGATGAACCAGTTGCAAATACTTCAGAATCAAGAACAACAGATACTAAATAAACTTAATATAATACAAGATAATAAAAAGAAAATTGAAGCATTATCTATTATGAATAGTGAACTTTTACAAATATTACAATATCACGAATTAACAAATTTCACAGAATTTCAAAACAAAGTTAATAATTATTTTACTACATTTGCAATAGGATTTTTAAACTATTTTATTTCTGATTATTATTTAAATATATTAAAAAATATTCATGAATATCAAAATCTTCCATATATTAATAAGATTTTTAAAATATTTAATTTTGTTATTATATTATGGACAAAATACTTATTAGCAATTTCTTTTGTAATTTGGTATTTTATTAATACTAAGACATTTCGTAATATAGAAATAATCTTTATTATTTTTATTATTAATATTTTAACAATAACATATATTAATTTTATAATCGATACAGATTTCATTTTACTACCTTACAAAAAAATATTATAATATATATTATTTTATATTTTTTAATAAATATTATAAATAATTAAATATATAAATAACTATTTTACTTAATTGAAACTAAAAAATGTCTCTTGAACATGAAAAAAACAGTTCATATTGGAAGAAAAAATTTGATTCTTATGAGGTTTTATCTCATTGGATCAAAGTTGTGAATTCTAACAAACCAAATCTCAAATTAAATGAATATAGACTAATTGAGATTAATGCAACTTTATTTTTTGAAGTATCAACTCAAACAAGAGAAATAACATTTCTTACAGACTTAAAACATTTTGAGCATATCAAGAATCATACGTGGTATTCTCATAAACCAACAAACCATAATATATATTATATTCAAACAACTATTAAAAAAGATAATAAACGAAAAAATTTAAAATTACATCGATTAATTTATTCTGAATTTAAGATGATAGATCATATCAATCGATATGGAACTGATAATAGAGAATGCAACCTTAGAGAAACAACAGTAAAAGATAATTCTTTAAATTGTAAATTACAAAAAAATAATACTTCAGGATATAATGGTATCACTTATAATAAAAAATATAAAGTTTGGAGATTTGATTGGAGAGAAAATAAAAAATGTAAAATAAAATATTTTAAAACAAAACAAGATACTATCAAATTCAAGCTAGCTCATGATAAGATTACCAGAAATCGAAATGGATACTCTATATAAATATATATTTTTTTTATTATCAAATAAATTTATACAATTTAGTTTATAGTTATATTATTTTTTTTAAACAATGATTATCGTTCACTATTATTAGTATTTCAATGAACCAATTAAATTATTTTGATAACAAAAAACAGTTTAATATTTTTATTAACATATTTAGCTTTATTAATTTTTTAAAAAACAAAGTATTAAAAGAACAAATTGAACATAAAAGACTTTAATTTTATATCGTTAAAATTTAAAAACATAATTTTTACAAATTTACAACTTTAAAAATCTTTATAATCATGTCTTTTGTAAAAAAGTTCTTTAACAAAAACTCAAACAATAAACAACAACTTAATATTGTTGATAAAGGTTTTGTTAATATTCAACAAGATCATTTTTGTATTGATAAGAATTATCAACAAGAAGAATATGAATAGGTTCAGAATAATTTTGAATCTGAGAACAACTGGGATCATATCAATCAAGAAGATGCAGGACCAAATTGGATTGAAGAGCCTATCTGATCCGCTAACAATCAAGATTTTTAATCTTAATTGTCAACAGAACAAGAAGAACCTTCTTATTCTTCTAATTCAACTTTAAATGAAAATAATAATTTAGTTAATGAAAAATATTTACTTGAATTAATTTTATTAATTTTAATTTTCATATCTTCTTTCTTTTCTGTAATTTTAGTTTGGTTTTTCAGATTAGCTTTGCTATACAGAGCAAAATTTTTGTTAGTAAAGTTGAAATTATCAGATAGAGATTATAATACAGAATTAAATCCATTTGAAATAATGTTTAGTCAAGCTTCGATTAATAATATATTTCAAATGGGTAATGATATTGAGAATACTATCAACGATCTTGTTGATAGTAAGATAAAAATAGAAGATTTTCCTATGATACAAGTTTGTATGATAGAAGATATTTTTTACTCTTCTGATAATAGACATTTATATTGTTTTCAAGAAGCAATACAAAGAGGATTAAATATTAAAAAAATATCTGTTAAAGTTCGACGTATATCTGATATTAATATCAGATGGAAATTAGAAGGTAGTTATAAGATTATTAAAAATAATAATTTTAAAAATATTGTAGTTAGTCCTTATGCAAGAAATGGAAGAGTTATTGATAATGAAAGAGGATATTGGAATTATTATGAAGAATAGTTTTTTTTTGTTTTTATATTTATTTTTTTATATATCTGTATATATATATATTTTTTTTATTAAATAAAAATCTATATTCATTAATAATAACAATACATAAAATTAAATTTTATTGTATACTTTAAATTTATTTATATTATTTATTTTAAAATTTATTTATATTGTTATTATAAATTTATTTATATTGAGTATTTTAATTTATTTATATTATATTGTAAATTTATTTATATTATATTTCGTTAAATTTATTTATATTGTATTTTATAAATTTATTTATTTTAAAAGATTTCTTTTGGTTGTGTATTTAATTGAAAGATTTATCTTAAAATATTTCTTTTGGTTATGTATTCAATTAAAAGATTTATCTCAAAAGATTTTATTTATATTATGTGTTTTAATTTAATTTATATTACATATTCTAAATTATAAAATTTAATTGACCAATTATATTATACTAGTGGTTGTCTTTTGAAAGAACTCGTGTCAAAAAATTTTGTAAGT